GGCGCGAGGCCAGCCGGGATCAGGGCAGGCTGCGCAAATCGAACGGTCAAAGGCTCAGACGGCCAGTCAGAGGGAAAGGACGCCGCAGTGCACGCCGGGATTTGGAGGGAAGTGAGGCTGGTGAGGTGCATGCCGGGAGCGGATCTGGCTAATGCGGGGCATGCTGGGATCAGAGGAGGAAGGGGGAGCTAGTGCTAGCGCGGTGTATGCCGGGATCGGGGCGGGCCGTGCTCGCACTCAGAGGCCCAGCGCGGGGCGGCCGCTCGCTCGGTGTCTCGGGGCGGCGGCGACCGTTGGGGCGGCTCCGGAGGCTCCTACCCGGCGGGGATGGCGGATGCGGCGGCTTCCCCGGTGGGGAAGCGGCTCCTGCTGCTCCTGACGGCCAGTCCCGACGAGGGTGAAGCGGTGGGGCTGGAGCCGGGGCCTGCCCTGCCCTCTCGGGCTTGGCGGAGCGGCACCGTGCGGGCCATGAGCGGAGCGGTGCCCCAGGACCTGGCGGTGAGACCCTGCGGGGGAAGCCTGGGGCCTAGACGGGAGGGCTTAGGCGAGCGGGGCGGCGCCGGCAGGGGGATCCCGGCGGGGCCTGGTCTCCTCTCCTCCTCGCCCCGGGCCTGTGCGGTGCTGGGGAGGAACGGAACAGTCGGGGCGTTTTGTCCCCCTCCCCCTGTGGGCTGGGGCCGTTCTTCCGCGGCGCTGGGTGGTGCCTCAGGCTGTTACAACGACCCCCGCCTCACCCATGTAGCTTCGTACTCCTGCCTCGTTAACGGCCTGGGGTGTTTCACGCAGCGCCTTGTTGGGGCAGTTGCGCCTACCCCGTCCAGTGTTGCTGGGACCATTGCGGTTGTTTCGTGTATCAGCCTCTCTTAGTTTGTTTATAGCTTATGTTTCACTTTGACTGTAGTTAGGCGCTAGCTCAGTTCTGCAGGATTTGGGTCTGGCAGAAATATCTGGGAAGGTTTAACCCAAACTGTTTCGTGTGGATTAGATAAACAGCCTTTTTTCTAAATCAGCCTTACTTTGTGGTTTTGTACAATGAGGCTCTGCAGAGCTGAAAGGAATTTCATTGCTGCTACTGTTTTCCAAAGATCATATGTAGCCTTAAAAGTCACTTAACATCTTAACTTTGAAATACAATCTGGCCACTTGAAAATAATGTATTGTGTAACCACACTGCATTGACTTAAGACTCTGGCATTGAAGTTCCCCACTCACTCTGTACATATATGTCGCTAGGTGTGAGGAGTCTGACCACAGTGGGATGGGGTGGCTGAATATAGGCGTGATTCCAATGGTTTAGTCATCTCATTTGGGTAAAGAAGTGTCTATTGGGTTGGAGGAGTTTGGCTAATAAGGTACCTGTAAAATCTACAACTGCAATATTTGTGAGAAATTAATTCTGAAATAGAAATGGGAGGTTTCTGATTATCTGCTAGGGTTGGGGGGTGTCTATGGATTTAGGCATTGCAATACTGAGCATCAAGGTCCCTAGAAAATCACAGGAACAATACCACGATCCACAAAGCTGAGTTAGGCCCTTGGGCATTCTGTACAATTTATGGGAAGAGCTGGGTGTCCAAGAACACAATCCATAAAAACTATCATGCTAGGCAGGGAGCCACGTAAGCTAGCCAGTTGGAGGTGCCAAGGAGCAGGGTGTGCGCTAAGCCTTTCCCATCCTTCAGAGATAGGTGCCTAAGTCCAGGTTAAAAAACAACAAGGAGTCTGGTGGCACCTTAAAGACTAACAGATTTATTTGGGCATAAGCTTTCGTGAGTAAAAACCTCACTTCTTCGGATGCATCCTGCATCCAGGCTACCCCCTGATACTTAAGTCCAGGTTGCAGGGAGGCACCTAGCTATTCTTGCTGATCCATGAATGGGAAGGAACCTGCCACATGGAGTCAAGTGGGTTAGGCGCTTAATGCTTTTCTTGCAGGAGTGAGTTAAGCATTTGCCTTTCTCCACATATGGGGAGGGAGCTGGTGATGCCAACTATATAACTTTTACCCCAGTGGTTAGAGTACACGCCTGGGATGTGGGAGACCCAAATTCAATTCTTACCCCCCTCTGCCAGAGGGGAAGAAGTGATTTGAACAAGGGTTTCTCTTCTTCCACTCTGGCATAGAAGGAGGGAATTAAACCTGGGTGGCCTAGGCAAGTGTTCTAAGGACTGAGCTGAAAGTATTAAGGTGAGCAACTTCTACCACCATTATCATTTCCTCTGGGCGGCTTTTGAATGGGACCCAATCTGTTAGGCGTGCTTAGAGGTTGCCTATCAGATCGGGCTCTGTATGCAGGTTAGGCAGCCAAACACCTGTCTTCCTTTGGTTCATGATTTGCTCTGGGACTTAGATGGGAGATAGGTGTCCAGATGCCTAGAGTAAGGCATTGTGCATGCTCCGAGGCAAAAACTTAGCCATTGAGATAACTTTTACCCTGAAATCTTAGGCATTGAGTCAGTTTAGGTGCCTATGAAGTTCAGTGTGAGTTTAGTGGACTGCAGTGGAGCCAAAACTGGTACTTAAGTGCCTAAATACCTTTGTGGGTTGCGCCCCTAGTGTCTGGGTGCATAAAACCTTGTTAAATACATGATAGATGTTTTTGCTAGAAAGGTATTCAGGTTTGTTTATTAGCATAGGCAGCATCATTTGGAAGCTTTAGACCCAATCTGGGGAAACAGAATTGTTTCTAATTCTGCAATACCAGAGACTTATTCTGCTTTCAGCAGGAGGAATTCATACACCATACAATACCTTTATGTACTTTCTTTTGTGTGTTGTCTTCTGAAGTTCACCCTAACAGAGTTGAGTGAATTTGTAGGCATGCTTCTCCCAAAAAGCATCTCTAATGTTTGCATTTGACCAATTTTTGTCCACAGGTACTGGGAGCACATTTTGGAAGGCCTTTGGTAACTCAGCCCATAAGGTGAAAAATCAAACCAAAATCTGAGGACACAGTGCTCTACATCATAGCACCTATGTACATCCAACTTTTTCTCCCTTTATTTTTCTTCTTGCCCCCGCCCCTTTGCCAGTGATGTCAAGCTTGATAACCCTTTACTCTCCTCTCATAAGTATTTATCTTCTTCCAAGCTGTCTGTGGAACATCCTTCTTGAACCTGTTCAAGCTACCTCCCTTGCCATAATCTTTGGTGGCAGGGAATTTCTTCTGTCATATCACCTATAAAAAGTGTGAGGGATGCTAGTATACATTTAGGAACAAAGAATGTAGGCCATACTTGCATTCCGGAGGTTCCGTTCTGGGAAGCTGAGACTCTGAAAAAGATTTGAGGGTCATCGTGGATAATCAGTCCATTTGCTCACACCATCATACTGGGAGTTCATTTTCGTCTAATGTTGACCCTAGGGTGCATAAATAGGGGAATCTCAAATAGGAGTAGAGAGGTTATTTTAACTCTGTGTTTGGTACTGGTGTAACCACTATTGCAATACTGTGTGCAGATCTGGTGCCCACAATTCGAGAAGGATGTTGATAAATTGATGAGGGTTCAGTGGAGAGCCACAAGAATGGTCAGAGAATTAGAAAAGATGTCTTACAGTGATAGACTCAAGGAGCTCAATCTATTTAGATTAAGAAAGATGAAGGGGTGACTTGATTACAGTCTGTAAGTACTTAACCAGAGAACAACTATTTAATAATGGGCTCTTCAGTCTAGCAGAGAAAGGTATATAACACGATCCAAAGGCTGAAAGTTGAACCTAGACAAATTCAGACTGGAAATACAGTGTAAATTTTGAATAGTGAGAGTAATTAACCATTGGAACAATTAACAATGGTCATGGTTTGACAATATTTAAATCAAGATTGGATGTTTTTTGAAGAGTTTTAAGAATTATTTTGCGGAAGTTCTATGGCCTGTGCTATGCAGAAAGTCAGACTAGATGATCACAGTGGTCACTTCTGGCCATAGGATCTATGAAACTTAAATGGTTAGCATCCCTTTTTATTTGCTAATGTGTCCAAGTCTTACTGAGTCCTCCTCCCCCTTTTTGATGCTGACTGCTCGTGTCAATTTTTGATTGTGCGCCCTTTGGGCTAGATGCATTGTGTGGTGTGTGTGGTGGTGGTTTTTTTTTTTTTAAGGTTCCAGGCATGTCTGGAAGATAAAAAATAACAAGTGGAATGACCTGATTTTCCCACTTGAATACAGTCATTGGACATCTAGAACAGGTGTGAGGCATTTGTATTTCAGAATAAACATAAAGCAAATGCAGAAGACATGATTTTAAGTGAGGTTCTGGGCTGTGTGAGCACTGGGCCCAATATGTTAATATACATGTTCTTTGACTGTTTCAAGTTGCTTTAATTGTAAACTAACTCTTAAGGAAAGATTGCTATAGTGCATTATCTGCTCTACAGGCACATCTCCCAAAAGCAGGAACCCAGCCTTTGCTGGGAATACTTTTTAAGAGGGGAAGGGTTTCAGGGCTGTTCCCTCTGACCAATTTATGGAAGGATGGTTTTATTACTGTATCTGTCATTGTTCTTCATAGTTTGTGGAGGGCTGAGATTCTAACAGCTTTTTTTTTCCTGGTGAGGAGGATGTGACCTCTTTAAGTGATGCTGCTCTCAGCTCATCCCAATTAATTTTATACAGGTTTTATACAATATTGAGTTAATGCTTGCATCCCTATTTTAACATCATCTTGGTGCAAGGTTTTACCATTGAGCTTTCCAAATCTCAGAATCACGACATGGGGGAAGATTTTCACCAAGTATCCTGGTTAGCTACTACTATCATGGTGCAGCATCTGGTGGTGTAATTGTGTAACATTTGTTTGATTTTTGTTTTGTTGGGCACCCTGCTTCCCTGCCTGCTAGCAGTCTGGGGGGTAGGAACTTCTGTGAAATCGTAGCCCTTGGGATCAGCCTGCTCAAGAGCTCTGTAGGTGTTGCAGCTCTCATCCTGTTTTCCTTCATCAACAAATCTGGCATGAGTATTTATTCCAGAGCCCTGGATAGCAGCATAATAGGAACTGTCACAACTAGGGACGCTGTCATGGTTGGGTTGTCTACTGTGGTCGTTGGTCGGACATGGTTCTTGAGAAAAGGTTCCATCAATCTCTGTTTTGGAGTTTGGTTTCTCTTGCCCGGGCTTGTGGTGAGACACAAGAATGAAGCCTGGTTGCACACACACTAACTTATACATAGTTACAGTTTAAACTCCCTTTCTGTTATAAAGCTAACTTTTTTCCCACTGTCCTCTGACCTTGCTAAAGTTTAACCATTTTTCCTGAAAACTTGTTTGCAGGGTCTTTCTCAAGGATAGTTTTTCTGTGAAGTTTGAGGGAAAATGGACAAGGTGTTTCAGAGATTTGCAGGTTCCCTAAGAGCTCTTCTCACTTACTAACAGCTTCTGTCTCAAACTGCTTGACCTAGAAATTCCAAATGTATTTTTGCTGAGCTGGCCATATTGAGGAATTTATTTCACTTTTTGCTGTTGGAGAGGTCTCTAACTTAGATAAATTGAACAATAAA